GGTGTTCCACACTCCTGGGATCAGCCTCGTTGCACCCCTAGTACCTACCAACTGGAGCCCCTTCTTTAGACATCTGTGTTCAAGCTCCAGCAGGCCTCCCTCCTCAGAGATTCTAAATTCTAATAATCCCAGTCATTTCTTCTGCTTCCCAGCCCTTGGGCTGGGAGCTGCTTTGTCAATTGCTGCTGTTAGATTCCTCAGTGCTCCCTTTTTCTCTGCCCAGTACTCAGTTAACGATTCTTTGTAACAAGGTCTCTCTGTTAAAATAACTGGTAGAGTTTCTGTCTCCTGATGGGGCCCTAACTAGACACACCGTTTATTTCTTTAAAATACAGTTTAAAAAGCCCCATTTGTATCATTTTCCCTCCTCTGGTCTTTATTCTCATCTTGTGAAGCAGGGTGTCTTAATGTTATCGGGGAAACTGAGGCTCGGGCAGCTTTGGCCATGTTTCGAAGTTCCTTCAAGTTGCAAGTGATGGAGCCTGAAGGACTCCAGGTTCTTTGACCCCAAGGACACTGCCCGTCCTTCCAAAGCCTGACTGCCTGTCCTAATTACAAGGGAAAAATGTAGGACTCCCACCTTGACTTACAAAAATGAGGCTACTGTGTGTATTATTACAAGCATTATAAAAATTATGCTTTAAATGATATATTTTTTGGAAATGAAAAGACAAGAACTAGAATTTGTTAATACGTCTTCATGATAAGTTCCAAAATCTCAATAAAATAGGATGTTCTATGAGGCTTGCAGCACTAAAAAAAATTTACTGTGAAAATGATGTAGGTTCTTGTTTATTTTTTGTTCTTCTCTGTAAGACATTTTATTGGTTGTATATTTTAGGGGCAAGTAATTTAGTTGTGTATTGTTCTGTATGTCTTGTATTTATAAGAGTTTTGAAGTGCATAAATAATATGTATGTTCATCTGTAGTATCAAGGAATAGGGTTTCTCTTTACTTGAATATTCTGTTGGAGTGACTGTAATTGTTATATTCGTTAATCATTTGAAAACAATTAGAATAGTGTGGCAAACATATAGTATTTACAGTGTGCCATGCGCTGTTCTAAGTGCTTTACATATATTAAATTAACTTTAGTAATTTCCACAAAAACCCTGAGAGCAGATAGTATTATAATCTTTTTAACCAGTGATATCATATTTTTTTCCATTGATACCATTAAGGCATGGGGAGAATAGGAAACTTGTACAGGGTCATACAACTGACAAGTGTGAGAGCTGGGAATTGAACCATAGTATCTGGCTCCGGAGTTCTTGGTCCTATGCAGTATACTGAATCTAAGATCACTTCTTTTTTGAATCTGCAATTATCGTAGTCAGGTTATTTATGAGTGCTGGAAAATAAGAAAGAGAATGGCAAAGCCAAGTAGAGCATATAAACATGATGGTCCAGTGCTACTTTAACAAAGGGATGCCCCCACCCCCAGCGCTTAGGGAGTATGATGGATTGATTGTCTTAGTAGCCCCAATTATTCATGCCTCTTTTTTTTTTTTTTTTTTTTTTGAGATAGATAGGGTTTTGCTCTTGTTGCCTAGGCTGGAGGGCAGTGATGTGATCTCAGCTCACTGCAACCTCTACCTCCCAGGTTCAAGCGATTCTCCTGCCTCAGCAACCTGAGTAGCTGGGATTTCAGGCATGTGCCACCACACCTGGTTGATTTTTGTATTTTTAGCAGAGATGGGATTTCACCAGTTGCCCAGGCTGGTCTCGAACTCTTGACCTCAGGTGATCCACTCGCCTAAGCCTCTTAAAGTGCTAGGATTACAGGTGTGAGCCACTGTGCCCAGCTTTGCTGTTCTTTAAACTACTTGTTCCCAGTAGCCTTCCTTGCTGACATCTTTTTTTTTTTTTTTAATATTCCAGTTTATCTTTTGTTAGTAAGACCCTATATTTAAGGGTAAGTGTCGCATAGCGTTTGCAAAGTCTTTAAGTTCAGAACCTCTGATGTTGGACTCCCTGGGTTCAAATTTGGACTCTGCCCTTAATCAGCTATGTGGTCTTGGGAAATTTACTTAATCTCTGTAAGCGTCGGCTTTCTCATATGCAAAGTCAAGATAACAGTACCAACCTCATAGCATTGTTGTGAAGATTGAGTGATGAGAGACATGTAAAATGCTAGGCACAGTGCCCAGCAAGAAGTAATCACTCAGTAAATGTCAGCTGTTGTTGGTACCTGATAAAGGATAATACGTACCTAGTGGTCCTAAAAAAACACAATAGATACTCATCATTATGCAGAACATAAAGAACGTAATTAAGAACTTGGCAACTGAAAAAATATAGCATACAGTTTCATACCTATTGTGTGATCCTAGGAACAAGCCGCTTGTTCTTTTCCCTTTAGTTAGTATTCAAAATTAAGGGAAAATTGTCCACTTTTGATGACTGGGCATTGTAAAAATGGGTCACAGTACAAAGCCTTACATAGTCAAATGACTCAAATAGTGTTGAAATGGTCATGTCATGGCATTAGTGGCTCTTCCCTGCTCACCCTGGCTGACAGTTGTCTCTCCCCTCTTGAAGATTTTGGTATGGGATGTGTTGTATGATCAGTGTTGTGCAGGCCTATGTGGCTCAAAGCAGGGTGAGCTTTTTGACGTATGGGACCACGTCTGATTCATCCACCAGTACATCACTGTGCTTGACATGAAGAAGGCTCCTGTGAGTATGCACAGGCTGGAATCAATCGTGTTGTGAGGACGTAGGGTGACATAGTTAGAGGTTTCCTAAGAACTGGGAAATGGACATTTACACATGGAGAGTTGAACTTTAAATTCCACACATACTGGATCAGAAAAGAGAGGTGCAAAAATGCAGCGATTTTAGCATGAAGACTCAGGTCACCTGTCTTGGCTGGCCTGGGCTGCTGTAACACATTATCATAGACTGGCTGGCTTAAACAAAAGAGAATATTTCTCGCAGTTTTGGAGCCTAGGAAGTTCTACATTAGGGTGTCAGCATGATTGAGTTCTGCTGGGGGCTCTTTTTGTGGTTTTCTGATGGCCGCCATCTTGCTGTGTCCTCACATGGTGGAGAGCAGAGAGAGAGGAAGCAAACTCCTATCTCTTTCTATGGGCGCACTCATTCCATCATGGCGGCTCTGCCATCATGACCTAATTGCCGCCCAAAGACCCCATCTCGAAATACCACCATATTAGGGATTATGGTTTCAAAATATCAATTTTTGGTGTGGGGGGGCAGGGGACATATTTAGTACACAGCCACTTAACACCTTACTTAGGATTAACCTTTAAAGAGAGAGTGGGACCATCAGAAGATGGCGCCGGTGGTGTCAGTGGTGGTTTGTTAGACTTGGTGGGATGGCAAAGGTGACAGATATTGTCAGGATCCCACCCAGCTTTCATCAGTGTGGGAGTCATAACTGGTTCCTGGGTCCATTGGTCAAGTCATGACCATGGTGGAGGTAGTCACCATTGACTATATAAGTCTGGCACCACCTAGGCTCCAGCTGCATGCTCACCAAGCCTGTGGGTAAGCCTGCCTATGGGGAAATCATGGAGTGGTGATATGGACTCAAGTATTCTTGTTCTTATGTGTGTGGGTGGAACAAAAGCTGCCTACATCTTCATCCCTGGGAACTGAATATTCGGTGTTACATGGCAAAGGCAAATTAAGGTTGCAAATGGGATTATGGTTTCTAGTCAGCTGACTTTAAATTAGGGAGGTTATTCTGAATTATCTGGGTGGGCTCAAGGTAATCACAAGCATCTTTAAAAGTGGAAGAAGGAGGAAGGAGACAGAAGAAGAGTGAGGTTGGAGGATGTGATGTGAGCTGAGAAGAATCCAGCCCGCTATTACTGGCTTTGAAGACAGAGGAAGGGGCCATGAACCAGGGAGTGGAGGCAGCCTCTGGAAGCTGGAGGAGCAAGAATAGGGATTCTCCTTAACAGCCCCCAGAAGTCATAGTCTTGCCAACAGTGCGACCCATGCCAGGCTTCTGATCTGCTGAACTGTAAGGTCATACACTGGTAGTGGTGTAAGCCGCTAAGTTTGTGGTAATTTATTAAGCAGCTATTGGAAACGAATACACCACAGCAGTGATTTCTTAGTGTAAATGAGTAAATTAACATTTTTATTTGTTTCAGCTTCAAGGTATGTGGTTTAAACTCTCCATGGGATGGTACAATCTGATTTCTGACTCTGCAAAGCTGACCAGACTTTGCCCCTTGCAGTGAACTGAATGTTTGTGTCCCCTCTAAATTCAAATGTTGAAGTCCTGCCTTCAAATGTGATGGTATTAGGAGGTGGGGCCTCTGGGAGGTGCTTAGGTCATGAGGGTGAAGCCCTCATGAATGGGATTTTTGCCCTTGGAAAAAGGACCTCAGGGAGAACTCTGATTTTTTTTTTTTTTTTTTTGCCATGTGAGAATACAGGGAGAAGATGGCCGTCTATGACCCAGGAAGTCCTCACTAGACACCAAGTCTGCCAGCACCTAGAACTTGGATTCCTCAGTCTTCAGAACGGTGAGAAGTCACTGTCTGTTGTTTAAGGCACTTGGTCAATGGTATTTTTGTTATAGCATCCTGAACAGACTAACATATGCCTGGCCTACCCTCCACTAGGAGACTGTAAGAATCACCATCACATATTGGGAGCGTCTATGTGTTGAGTGCTTTACTAGCGCGTTGCCTAGAATCCTCTCTATAGCCCTATGAATTAGGTATGGTTTTGCCCATTTTATAAATGTGAAAACTGTGGTTCAAGTTGAGCCACACAACCACGGTGAGGTGATGTGGATTTAAACCCTGGTCTGGGTTCTCCACTCAAGTTCTTTTGAAAACCCTAGCTGCCTCACTGCCATGCTGTCTCTGAGAAGACTCTGTCTCTTGGAGAACCATCAGCCTCGTTCGTGGCATGATGCATGAAGAAAAGCAGCCAGGCAGGAGTGGGACAGAAAAATCTCCCATCAGGCCACTGCTTCCTGCCAGGTCTTGGAATTGCCACCACTTTCCCCTCTCCAACTCCTGCGGCCGCAATGGAGGAGGAGGATGAGGAAGACTGGGCCCTGCTTGTAGGTGGCCCTGACGAGGCCAACAGAGGTGCCCTCACCGCCCCCAGGGCCCTGCCAGCCCTCTGTGACCCCAGTCGCCTGGCACACCAGCTTTTGGTGCTGTTACTGATGTGCATCCTTGGCTTCAGCAGCCATTTTTGCTATGACAACCCTGCTGCCCTTCAGACCCAGGTTAAATGGGATATGCAAGTGAATACCATGGAATTTGTGCTGCTGTATGCCTGGTGTTCTCGGCCCTACGTAGTTTTGTGTGTCTCTGGTGGCTTTTTGATAGACCGAGTATTTGGAATATGATGGGGCAGAATTGTTTTTAGCTGCTTTTTTGCATTGGGCAGGTTGGTTTTGCTCCGGGTGGAATATTTAATGTTTTTTGACTGATGGAATTTGGAAGATTTGTATTTGGGATTGGTGGAGAGTCCTTAGCAGTTGCCCAGTTGTACATATGCTGTGAGCTGGTTTAAAGGCAAAGAATTAAGCCTGGTGTTTGGACTTAAACTTAGCATGGCTAGAATTGGAAGTATAGCAAACACGAATCTCATAGGATGGCTGTATTCTTTTTTTTTTTTTATTATATTCTTTATTCATTAAATGTTGTTTATTGTTTTAATGAATACTACATTGAGTATTTTTATTTTATTGAATTTTATAGTATTTTAATGAATAATACATTGAGTCACCAAAGTTTTTTACAGTATGCTTTCAAATAGATGCAGGGCAAACTCCCTGTCATACTTATAAATTTTCTTTTTTTTTTTTTTCCCATTTATTTATTTTATTGCATTTTAGGTTTTGGGGTACATGTGAAGAACATGCATGGCTGTATTCTAAGACTGAAGCTTTGTTAGGCTCTGCTGGTCACACAATCCTTGGGGTCACACTTGTGATCAGGGGTGTAACGTGTATTCTTTCACTAATCTGTGCCTTGACTGTTGCCTACTTGGATCAGAGAGCAGAGAGAATATTTCATAAAGAACAAGGAAAAACAGGTGAAGTTATTAAATTAAATGATGTAAAGGACTTCTCCTTACCCTGTGGCTCATATTTATCATCTGTCTCTGCTGTTGTGTTGCCGTGTTGCGTTTTACTGGACTTGGGAATGTATTCTTTACAGAGAAATGCAGACTTTCTTCCCAGGCAGCAAGTGCAGTTAACAGTACTGTATACGTCATATCAGCTCCCATGTCCTCGGTATTTGGCTGGTGGATAAAACAGGGAGGAACGTCATCTGGGTTCTGCGTGTGATAGTAGCCACTCTTGTGTCCCACATGATGCTGGCCTTTACAATGTGGAACCCTTGGATTGCTAAGCGTCTTCTGGGAATTTCCGATTCATTGCTTGCGTATGCATTGTGGCCAATGGTGGCATCTGTAATTTCTGAACATCAGCTGGGAACTGCATGTGGCTTCATGCAGGTCCATTCAGAATCTTGGGTTGGCCATCATGTCCATCACTGCTGCTTTGATACTGGATTCTGGGGGCATTTGTTTTCAGAAGTTTTCTTCATCGTTTGTGTTTCTTTGTCACTTTTATCTGTGGTCTTATTCCCCTTGGTGAATCGTGCCCAGGGTGGAAACCTAAATTATTCTGCAAGACAAAGGGAAGAAATAACGTTTTCTCATACTGAATGAGAAGTTTAAAAGAACGTGTCATGAAAATGGGCTTAATACATCATTGGTTCGAAAACCTCCATTTATAAAAATGTAGAGTTTAGTCATTAGAAAAAAATGACAGACTGGAAAGTTATATTTACATCCAAATATACCTATTTCAAAGTGTATTTGTGAGGATTATTTTAGCTTGTGTCTTTTGTATTGTGTATTACTGAAGAATTCTACTTTTAGTAGGCTAATCAATAATGTAAGGGTTAGAAAATTGCTCTGGAACATCCAGGTGAATTTCAGGAAGGACAGTGAAAAATAGAAAACATTGGAGCTTCTGTTGAGATCATCTTCATTAAGTATATACCTTAGGGAGACCACCTTTTCTTTATCTTATAGCAGGAAAGGAACTTTTGAGGGGAATAGAAGGGCTGCGTTATACAAAATAAACAATGGCATTGTCATAGGCCTTCCTTTTAGTGATAGGGCATAATGCTAGGGAATATGTGAAGATGTTTTTATGAAGTCTCTTTCTGGTCATGACCAGTAGCTTGCACTCTACTCTCTAGTTATGTGGATTGCTGAGCAATGACTCTTGAATTTCTTATTTCTCTGTTACTGAGGACCCCAATCACGGACATAATTTTATAGTATGAACTTTCTGTACAGTTTTTCTTATAGTCTAATTAATAACTAAAAAGTGTCCTTCAAATTATGATATTTGGTTATTTATATGGATAAATAAAAACACTGCACAAGGAGTACTTGATGTCTTCTTTTGATTTTAAAAAATACAAAATCACTTATTTTAACTTTTATTCATGCAGAAGATTATCAAGAAGAAAAACCCAAGTTAGAATAAAGAAAACTTGCCCAATTACAGTCATTGAAAGATTATGGGGGTAGCTTTTTCTCCAGAGTAGAACTTTAAATAACATTTGTGGGTTTTTTTAAATATTAAACAAAATATGAATATGAAGCTTCTCTGATAAACTTTAAATATTTTTAATGTAAATGCTTCCTGAATTAACCTGTTTTTCAGCCTTAACATAGTATTTGTTCAAGTCAAGGAATGCAGAAATTTTAGACAAAATATTAAACCAATGTATTTGGCTGATTATATTGTTTAGAGTACATGGCATGACATTGTAAACTTAAATGTTCAGGAACAGATTGAATGTACGTTCATTACACAAGGTAGCTTGGTAGCTTCATTTACATCAGTTTTTCTGACTTATAGTTTGTTATGTTGATATGGTTTGTCTCCGTGTCCCCACCCAAATCTCATCTTGAATTGTAATCCCTACGTGTTCGAGGGAGGGACCTGGTGGGAGGTGATTGGATCATGGGGGCAGTTTCTCTCACGCTGTTCTCGTGATCGTGAGGGAATTCTCATGAGATCTGATGGTTTAAAGGTGTAGCACTTCCCCTTCATGCTGTCTCTCTCTCCTACCATCATGTAAGATGTGCCTGCCTTGCTTCCCCTCTGCCTTCTTCCATGATTGTAAGTTTCTTGAGGCCTCCCCATGTAGAAGTGAGTCAATTAAACCTTTTATTTACAAATTAAAAAAAAAAAAAGAAAAGAGAAAAATCTCCCATCTTCCTGCATCGTTGAAGCTTTCACCATTCCTAGGGAGAAGGCACTAAAGTGAATCCCATGGACATTCTCAACTGTTTGCAAAATGTTGCCAATATACTTCTGCAAGCTGTATTTTTAACTGTTTTACAAATTGTATATGCTTCATTCTAGCCTGGTTTCTGTCATTCTCAATGATTTCCTTATTTTCTTAAATATTTCTGCATAAAAGCTCCGCCTTTTAACCTGAACCAGGTCTGGTTAACCGGAACAAAGAAGGCAGCTGACAAACGGTCAGAGAAAGTGGATCAGGAAACGAACATCCTATATAGTAGAGGTTCTTCTTTATCATACATGCAACTCTTGATGAAATGAGAATACATAAAATTGGCAGCAACAAACCTGCTTGGTTTCACCTGCTGCCTCCAAGATTGTGATTGATCTGCAGAGCAGAGTTGAGAGCACATATCATTTGTCTGTGGTCTGTTCCAGTGGAATCATATGACATGTAACACCTGACTGTGACTGCCCGAATCCTCCAGACTCACTTTGCCAAAGAGGGAACTCCATCCTCAGGGTTGGAGTGACTTACCTAAGGTCATTCTACGACAAGGTGGCAGGGCTAGAATTTAAACCCAGACTTGAGGCTCCAAGTGTATGCCCTTTTTCCTGTACTATCCCAGCCTCTTGTTTCCCTTAAGTGCTAAGCTCAGTTCCTTGAACGTATTAAGAGTCAGCTCTGTAAGTGCTTCCTGAACGAAGCTGAGGTTGTGCACATGAGAATAGTGAATTCAACTTTTTGTTTTCTGGCAGTTTTGCTGGGTGACTGCAGGAAGCACTTGCCTTTCATCATTGGCCAACTGGGGATATCCACCCCTGGATCATTTGATCACTTAAGCTCTCAACTTGCTCAGGAGGTAGCCTGCAAGGGCCTTGCAACTTTGATCCAAGTTTTCCATCCAAACAGCCATGTTAATGGAGAGGTTCCTGATTCCAACCAAGCCCCACATTGCCACTCTCTTTCTCAAAGAAAAGAAAGAAAATGTGTCCTCCACTGTGGCTGGGCTACCTGAACGGATCAAGTGCTGGAATGTACTGATTGCTTTGAGGGGCAGGATCCTTTTTGGCTTCATCTTTTCATTTTGCTGCTGGACTTAAGGAGACTCAGCGTATATTGCTTGTTATAAGCTTCGCCAGAGAATATTTCAGTCTTGTCATCTTCCCCATTCAGACTAAGGCCAGTGAATGCAGTTCAGTTCCAGAAACGGTAATTGTGCACATTGTATCCAAGTGCTGTGTCAGGAGTGGGGATATGGAAATCAATGTAGGGCCATCTTCTCTCAGGGAAGGCACGATATCTAGCCCAACAGAGGAAGAGTTAACCCAAAGCAGAGCTGTCTGTGTTAAGCTGTGGCTATGTAGCACAACATGAGCATGAAAGACACTGCTTTTTTGAATTCACACTGTGTGAAGCCTCATGCAAGCTGTCAGATGATTTATGATCTGAATCATCATCAGCAAACCCTGTGACAGGGCAATGTTCTTCCCATTGTACAGACAAAGAAACTGAGGCCCAGAGAGAGGAACCAGAGCATTGGAGTAAAAAGGTTCTGGTGGACCTGGGTTCAAACCTTAGCCACAAATCCTGAGACTTTGGACACTTTTCTCAGCCTCTCTGAGCCTCTGTTGAGTCATTTGTAAATGTAAGTAAGTGGTTGTGAGGTTCCATGGGAAGGTGCAGGTGTTCAAGGGGTTAGCTTGGTGCTGGACAGAGTCACTGCTCATAGCTGAGAACATCCTGTGAGCGACAGAAACTCAGGCGCCCTCTCAGCTGAGTCTCACAGTTTCGAGAGTAGCAGTGGGTTATCCTATCACCCCTGAGGAAATGCCTGAATAGATTTTGGAGGAATATGTTTATTGGTTGTGCGCTTCATTACTGATCTCTCTGGAGGGATGTCTACATTGCCCCTTTCTGGCAGGCTTGGAATTGATGGATGAGAGGGGAGGGAAGATCAGCCTGGATGGTCTCCCTGCAAGAGCCTGACCCAGAGTCTATTTGCTTGGGGGCAGCTACGCATGCAGCAGTGGTCCTGCGGCCTCCTAACTCCTGACCTGTCTTCCTACTCCCGTTTCCCGCTTGGGAGGAAGTGGCTGAAAAACCCCCTTGGCTAGACTGCAGGGTACTGTCTGGCCCTGGTTTTGTCCTGAGTGGCAAAGGGACTACCTGGGGAGACTTTTATTGTTTTGGGATGGTTCTTCTTTTCTTTCTTTTTTGTCTCATTTTATTTCATCCAAGTGATGGGCTTTCTTCCCACTGCCTTTGAGACAGCCCTCTGGAGAGTCTGGCTCAGGTCTTCCTCACTAATGTACATTGGCTCAGGGCTGCTTTGATGGATAGAGGCAATTTTCCTTGGAAATCAGCTGCAATATTGGCAGTTCCATGGGACATACATTATACTCCTTTCAGAGAGAGATTTTCTGTGGGGCCTTGAGAGGGAGTGAGCTGTTCAGGAGGGAGTGGGAGAAGTTGAAGTCACCTGAAAGAAAAGGCATCTATTTAAATGTTTGGCATAGCTACATCTCCTGTCATATGGGTCCAGCCCACTCTTGCAAAGTGGCTCCTTTTAGAAAAAGAGGAGAACTTGTCCATGGCTTGTTAATGGTAGATAAATTAAAAGGTGAGGAAGCAGAAGCATGTCCAAGTAGAACAGAGCTCCTGCCAGGTGCAAGAGGACTCACAGCCCCTGCATCCTAGAACTCTTGGTTTTCAACTGAGATAAGGGAGACCCATTAATCAAAGGATGTGTCACACATGGTGGAAGGTGCTGGGCACTCGGGAAGAATAGGTCACAATCACCATTCATGTCCTACCAGAAATCACAGTTCTGCTAGGGACACACATGCACACATGGCCCTCTTGATCTAGTAGGGCAAGTATAATAATAACAGCTAAAATTTGTTCATAATCTGTAAAAGCATTAAGTAATTTACATTCACCCAAACTTTCCAAAGTAGATATAATTATCATCTCCATTTCACAGACAAGGAAACTGAGGCATGGGGAAGTGAAATAACTTGTCTCAGGTCATCCCTGGTAAGTAGAGGAGCTGGGATTTAATTGCAGACCCGACGCTTTCCTTGACCCGCTCTGTGCCGCTGCGTTGGTCTCTTGCTGACCTCTGGAAGCGCAGAGACATCTGAAAGCTCCAAGAGGCGCATTTGCTGGCTCTTAGTCCCAGATCCCCGTTCAATCAGCCCAGCGCTCTTTCCCTCCACCTCACTTCTTCTTGGAAACTTTGCCCTCCTTCTGTGTGGCTTGTCTTGTTGTGGTCGAAGGACAAGGTCTGGAGGCAGCAGGATGTGGGTTAGGAGGCCAGAGACATTGGTCGAGAGGAAACTGAAGTCTTCATCCTAGGCTCTGTGTTGGGTACTGGGGATGTGCCGGTGAGGGGTCCCTGTTCTCTTGGATCCCTGCTCTCTTGGATCTTACCATCTTGCTGGGGCACCAGAGAATAAGCAAACCAACACCTGAAAACCCAGGTGGATGTTATGCAGAGCACTAACATTGGATGCTGTGAGCACGGATGATGGGTGTCTATTTTGGGTTGGATGACCAGGTAAGGCCTCACACAGAAGTAACATGGAAACTGAGATCTGAATAGTAAAACAGAGTCAGCCCAGGGATCACAGGAAGGAAGGGTGTTCCAGGGAGCGGAACCTGCATGTGCCAAGGCCCAGGTAGGAGCAGGACGGGCAGGGCATGTTTGAAGACAGAGGCTGTGCAGTTGGGAGCATGGGAGTGCGAAGGGCAGTAGGAAAGGAAATAAAAGAGAAGGCTGAATAATCATGTAGGGCTCTGTAGATCATGAGGAGGAGTCAGAGTTTTATTCCAGGTGTATTAGAAAGCCATGGATGCTGGAAGGCAGAGTAGGGACATGGTCTGCTGGGATGCTGCCATTCCATGGACACCAGCCCCTTGATCTTGGTGCTAGGCATTCCAGCAGGTGTAAACCTCATGGCAAGACAGTGAGGCCTGACAGCTAGAGTCCTGGTCAGAGATCAGAATGGTGATTCCACTCATTTTCTTGTTCTTTAACCAGCAAACAGTGTTGGGGCATTGATCATGTGCCAGGTACTTTGCTGGCTAGCACTGGGGATACCAAGCAGTCTGGGTTAATACCCCTCTAG